AGTGGATGTGGTGGTGTTGGGTTGACGGTTGGACTCGATGATCTTAGAGGTCTTTTCCAACCTTAATGATTCTATGATTCTATGATTCTATGAGTCCTAGCTCTGGAGCATGGAAAAGATGCTGCGTTGTTTAGAGGGTCCAAAGGTCCTACTTCCACAGGAATGGGAGGGCAGAAGAGCGCTCACAGCTTTGCCCCAAGACAGTAAGGGAGCTGTTGAAAGATCCATGCAGCCCAGGGCGCTGTGACCCAGTGTGCTGGGTCCCTTTCCCTTCTTGGGAGGGGCTCTGTGGAGCAACTGTGTACAGAGGAGACTTAGGGAAAGTGTGAGATTCAGCAGAGCACAGCACCTTCTACTTCTGGTGAACCCACTGGTATCTGCAGCTTTTGGGGAACAAACACCTCACTAGAAATAAGTCTGGGGAAATCTCTGCAGAGATGAATCCCAGACAGTTTTACTCGCCCATGGGAGAACTATCCTGGGCCTAATACAGAGCAGAAGCATCTTCCTACTCAGTCCTGGATCAGGCATATCTTCTGTTGCCCTCAGTGCAAGCTGCAGAGTACTCAGAGCTGTTACGTGGAGGGCTGCTTATGGAGATACTGAAGAACAGACTTAAGGACCCAACTTCAAGCAGTCTCATTTCAAAAAAGTAGTGACTTCTCTTCCCACTTTAATCTAAATATGTATATTATGCCAGGCAGCTTCATCTGTCTCTGTTAGGGTGCTGCATATGATGAAGATATCTGTGGACTTATCTGCATGTGCACAGTCAGAAAATTTAAGATGAATTAAATGATGCTGTGTGGATAAGAACTCAGGCACATGGCCAAACCCAATTGAATGATGGTGGCTTAAGCACCATCCATCAGCTTAGTCACTGAGACTGTCTGCAGGCATCCTCCAAGCCCACCCCAAACAGGAAAGAAAACGCACCAGCTTAAACCTCTTTCAGCTGAAGCTCCTGTAACTAGATCACATATGATTATACATGCATGAGGCCTAACTCAAAATGCATTAAACCCTTGTGTGGATACTCTTATTCAGAAATAAAATTATATTAGCTCACCTAGGAAAGAACAAGGCTGCAGAAAATTGTAAGGCCATTTTATTCAAGGTGAGAGCATTCACAGAGGTGTTTACTACTCTTCTGACTTCTTTTTTCACTGAGCATGACCATGTAATATTTCCCAGGAAAATTAGATACAGTAACGTTGGGAGGTTCCCAGGAGACAACCCACAGTTTCCTACCTGGACAGCTTATAGGAAGTTCAGTTTAGTATGTCTGGCTGTCATTCTCCAGTGCATATGCAATTGCCATGCAGTTACCCATAGGACATGCAAACCAGGGATCTGCGCTACCACCTCCAAGCAGTAGTGCCACTTTGTCAGAGTTTAAATGAGGACACATGTGTAGGGCAATAAAACACTGGATCTTGCTGCTCTCCTTTTCTTGTCTCCGCCAGAGACCTTGCCTGCATTTTTCTCTCTTTGCTATTCACAAGCTCAGCCTACAAAAACGTTTTCTGGAATAAAAATGTTCCAAAGCATGTTGCAGGAAAAGAAGCACAGCAAAACGAAGCAAAATAATGCAAACCTGCAACTACAGGCAATGGTATTGACTCAGGGACAAAGTGGCTCTGGGCCTGGGACATACTTTGCCTGCAGTCTCGGTAGGGCCCTGAATGCCCTCTCGCGGCAGTAGGATACTTCACTCCCCATGTTCACGGTTTTGACACTGCAATTCTGGAAATGTGGAGTGAGACAGCAACCATTTTTCTGCATTCACTTTCTCCAGGACACATTAATTTAGTAGCAACAGTAATAATTTATAGTCATGCATTTTTCAAATCCACTTCCAATAGCTCATAGTCTTTACTGTATAAAGACTAATCATTCAGATTTATTATCCTTATGTAATCTTACACAAGAAAATAAAAAATGCACATCTTTTGTATGGAGAAGGCTATAGTTTCATAAGATCCTCTATATTTCAGAATACAAACCATATCACAACTATATCATGAAGCTGCACCATACAAGCCTTACTTTTATTAGCCAAATTCCCAGCAGTAAGAAGCAAATTTAAAATAATATCGGAGGGAAGAGATTGCTTTTTCTCTGTATGCATTTGTCCCTCACCGATCTCTCTCTAGGCAGAGATATAATTTTACACAGCTTTTGCTACCTCTGCCTCATGTGGTCTGACCTTTGAGGTGATGACTCTGTGAGTGACCTAATATTTTGTTAGGCACTAAAAGTAGTTCTAGGTGAGATCCAGAGGGAAATAATGTGCTTAAATAGGTAAAAACAGAACTGCTTTTGAGCGGCTAGAATATCAGAGGGCTACAGACAAACCCTCTCTCCTTGCCTTGGAATTGCAGCCCTCTGTTCACTCTACATGCTACCATATCATGGTTCAAGAACTAGAGATGATATATTTTATTAATTTTTCTTTGACAAAAATGTGATGTCTTGGAGAAATTTTGCTGTGACAAACATTTTCAAGAAGAAGACAGCTCTGTTTGGGATAAGAGATTATTTTGATGGACTCTTACAATCCTCTTTCTAAGATTTCTTTTTGTTTGTTTGTTTTCCAGACGTTACTGGAGAGTAAAGTCTTTTGGAAGACAGGACTGATAAAAAGGTCAAGATTTCCTAGGATCTTTTAATGTTTTCCTTTATTCTTTCCACCACCAAGGAGCATTTATTGGTGACCATCTCTTTGGGCTAAATGACACTTTCTTCTGAATCCCTCAAAGCTACACTTAAACTGGATAGAAGCTGATTTATTTCTTCCCTGATTCTTTGCAAAACAGAAAGACTGCTGTGCTGAGATTTCTTTGTCGTCTTGCATGTTGAAGCCCCTCTCCAGGGCTGCTTATCCAGTAGACTCGCAAATTGCAACTGTTTACATTCATTAGTTTACCCTCATAAAGTGAAGCTCTAGACAATTTTAATTTAACTGGGAGCTTAAATTCCCTATCAGACAAAACAAATCTTACAGGGCAAATAAAACAAGCAGGTTTCTACTGCCCATATGCTACCACCCATATGCTGCCGCCCATATGACACTGCCTGTCAAGAAAACATGCTTCACTCCTGGCACCTCAGGTCCAGAGGAAAAGAATATTGTAGATCTGACAGCAAGGCTGTCAAGATGGCTATAATTCACTGTAAATTCAAGCTAGAGCCACAGCGGCTGTTGCCTACCCTCCTGCTGTCATTGAACATGGACTTGGAACATTCACAGACTCTTATTGAGACTTTTTTCCTGTAAATAAAGTAGGAACAAAGGCATCTTCTCTCACAGGAAAGGTGGGAGAAAAATACATTAAAGTTGTCAAAATACGTGGGTAGGAGACGTCCTCAGAAGTACTGTAGGTAGACTAGGCAGTGCTTACCTGTACTACAGTTGGCTCCTTGGACAGCTGAGGATCATTAAGTCTGTCCTGTCTGTAATTCAATGCAGGGTGTGGGCCGTTTCCATACTGACACTCAAAACAGGAACCTGCATCACAGCCCAGATCGAGGAGGTACTTCAGCACGGAAAGGTACTTCATCGAAAACATGATGGTAGCCGGAAATGCAGTGGGATGGCTTGATATATAGGCATCAATGTTTGCTCCATGGTCAAGGAGCAGTTTCATGGTCTTCAGGCAGCCGTGGCGGATGGAGATGAGTAATGGGTTGATGAGGTCAACATTGGGGTTGGCTCCCGCTTGCAGCAGGAGTTCCGTGGCATAGATGTTGTTGTTAAAAACAGCAAAATAGAGGGGGGTGGTGCGTCTGTCCTCATAAAGGCAGGACCGTTCAGTGGAGAGGGCGGTGTTGACATTGTAGCCAGCATCGATCAGCTCTTCCAAGATGTCATCATTGTTGCGTTCGGCCGCTAAGTGCAGGGGGCTGATGCCGCTGCGCTTGACGCGGGTGCGGCTGGTCACAGGGATCAGCATGGAGACAATCCTGCCAGGTGGAGAGTCAGTGAACGGCAGTGAGCTCTAGGGGATCTAGGGGATCTACAGCCCTACAGCAAATTGTAGCTGTATGGTTGCAACCATAAGAGAGAGTCTGCTAACTTGGGCACAGGAACAACTCTCTTTGAGAGAAACCAGGGTGTGAACTTGAAATCTGTCAACAACTCCCTGTGCTCCTACCTTGCAAAAAATGTGAGTTGAGTGACCCCCTCTTTCATGGAGGAACAAGTTTTTTTGAAATTATCACCAAGTTTCTATGAGGTAATGGCAGCTACAGGGGCAGTTACGATGGAAGAGGCGACATACTGGCACCTCACCTACCCTGTTGTAACTCTCTTAGGTGCCACAGCCCAAATGGCAGACACCCAGCCAGGATCTCCCAGACATTCTGCACCTTCATCATTGCTGTAGGAACTTCATCAGGACTATAGGAACAGGCACACGGCCTCCAGCCTGAGGTGCCAGCAGAGATGCTGTATCTCCCCACCTCCATCGGGATTGCTTTATTGCTCAGCAGAGAAGGGCACCAACACAAGGCCTCCTGAGTCACAGCCACAGCAAGAGGCTTAAGACCAGAAAGAAGGTGAAACCAAACCTTCCTCTGCAGGACTGAGCTAGGATAAACTACATATTTGGTTTCCAATTATTACCCTGGATTTATCCCCATCCTGGAGGCCCACACTGTGTGGCTTTTGGCTGTGGCAAATCCATGGGGCTATCAATGTCCATTCCAGATCATGGGGAGCCAAAAAGACAATTAGGAAAGGGGAGAAAAAGAAATAAAAATACTTTCCAGGCTGGTTTCCATGCTTTAGCCCAGGGAGAAAAAATGTACAGCCAAGTCCTAAGCCCCAGTAATCAGGGATTGCTATTGGAAAGTGTGATGTGGCCTTAAACACAGCAACATAAATCAAGCTGCTCTCGTTATGTAATGTGAAGTTCAAATATATGATGTACAGGAGCCCCGCAGTCCGTGATCATTTTTTTGTCTCTGTAGGTGTCATTGGAGCTGCATGACTAGCTCCATGGGTTAAACCCTCATTTCCTGCTCATAAAGTTGGGTGGTTTGGCCAAGGCATTAGGTTGATTCTGTAAATAGAGCCAAATCACCTTAAGCTACTTCCAGAAAGAGACTAGGGACCATCCAAGCTGAGCCTGCCTACTGTCTCAGGAGATGCTCCCCATATAATGCCTGTGGAGAGAGGGATATCTAAAAAGGAATCTGTGGGAGCCAGTAAGCTAAGCACACCTTCTCTTCCTCTTCTTCCTCCCATGCAGACTCCTCTATCTAGCAGTCAACAGCTCTTCTAACACACAAACATGCTCAGTTTCCTACCACGTAGTGTGCCGCCTTTAAAATGCTGCGTATCTTCAGCTTGACTGCAATGGCTGGTCCCAACACTGGGCCCTCAAACATACATTTACATAATGAACTAAGCCAAATATAAGCGCTAGTCTCAGGAAAACCTTTGTCCGTGATGCACTGAATGATCCTGTGAAAGACTGAGCCTCCAACGCTCCCAGGAGCTGAAATAAGAGTTGAAGATGCATAACACTTTACAGGATTATGTTCCTATTTACATGATGGGCTGTTGATGTCTCCAAGTTACTTCTGCATCTCATTTTTAAACAAAAAGGCTTTTTAAAGTATGTAAATATATTTGGAAATTAAGCACGGGGGGGAGGTTCTCCAAGCAGCCTCACTAATCTTCCAGTGCTGTGATGCTCACCAGGGAGCGGAGGTTTGGGTGCTGGTGAGCTGGCAACTTCCCACTATTAGCAAATGTTCTGTAAGAGCCATAATAACAAAAAGGGCACAGAGCACTGTGAGGACACCATGCCAAGTACCAGTATTAGTCATCCCATGATCAACTGTTTTGAAGATTTAAGGGTCTGTTTTGTTCTTTCCCTCCAGCGTATGCGCTTCAGCCAGCTCTTCACATCTGAGTTAAAGAGGCACTGCGTCATTTCTGTCTGCAAGGGGGACCTGAACTTTGCCGCAGGGGTGCCACACTGAGGCTCTGCATCCAAATGCTGCAATGTCGCAGACCTCAGTACATTCCCTGTACCCCAGATTTATTTTGGGAGGAAAAGCAGGAAGGATCACATTTGTATCAGAGTTTAATTTTGTAGCTTGAACCGGTCTCTCTTCCTCATCCTCCGAAGTGGGTTGGTTCAGTAATATGGTGCCTCCACCTCTGCAGTCTTTCCTGTCTGTCTAGAGGGAGAAGGCAGCTCAAGTGAAGGCAGCCAAGGCCAGACAAACCAGACCACATCCCACGTCTATCACAGGGCTGAGCTTCATGTACAGTTTCGAAAGAGTGCTAAGTTTCCCCTCATCCCTGACACCTGTTTCTGTGATTTCTATTTGTTAGAAATTACATGGAGGAGGAGGCAAAGCATCCTTAGTATGAGTGTGCCAAGAGTTTATTGACTTGCATTTACTTAATAAATCTGCCCACACTTCACAAAGTCTTCCCTTCTCAGCATCTCAGTTCCGAGGGGGAAGGAGTTAAATGACTGCTTGCGATTGTCCTACAGCTGATGAGATGACCCTTATGAATTTCAGGTCAGTATTGACAAGGTGTCATTTAAAATAAACAAACACCAAGCAATAAGAGTTGACAGTTGAGCCTTGGGACCACATTCTTGGCTTTTTGATGGTAGGGAGCCTTCGTGCTCTGGCAAAAAGTTGAAGTGTGGAATTCCTGCAGAATTACGTATTAAATCTACAGGAATACAAAGAGAGGTCACCGTGAAGGGTGTTATTTTACTGAATACCAAAGGAATTAAGAATGATCAGCCAATTGGGCTAAAGCTTTGCCATTTAGATAAATATTTATAAGAAAAGATCTTTTTCTTTCTTTTGCACTTAGTTTGAAGCAGTTGTGCACAAAAATTTGTGCTCAGTCTTTTACAAGTGAAGGAACTCAGAGTTGGGGCTGAATTCTGGTCTCATTTATGCTGCTGGTTGTTGGGAATAATAGATGTGAGATCTGAATCAGGCCTTTTCTTCCATAACATTGGGATGGACTCAGGTTGCAGAGTTTCCATGTAAATTTCTTTTCAGATCGGGTTGTGGAACTATAGAGGGCAGGAAAAGATTCAGAGAGCTGGTCCAGACTCTATATACAAATTGGATTCAGACCAACTTACTGTACTTTCAGACTAACTTTTTTGAAAGTGAGCAACTGGAGCTGGGTTCTGTCTCTGGCACATTTCTCATCGAAAATGTGTTTGTTTTCAAGAAAATGTCTTTGTAACTCAAACCCCAGAGAAAATTTTGAATCATGCCTGCATTAGTCTATGCAGGGTATTCGTGTACACGCTGTAAGCGTATAAACCCATTACATAAATTAACACTGGGCTGCCCTCTAGAATACACAGCTTGCACAAAGAAGCAGGCCTACTCCAACTACAGAAAATGAATATCCTCAGGTCTATCAAAGTGATTTGAGAGGCTTAATTGGGATTCCCAAGCAGACCTAAATGCTAGGATAAAAGATGCTATGGGAAGGTGTAGTGCTGTCAAAATTTTTCATTCCTCAGACATTGTGAAATATATAAGAAACCGCTCTAGCAGTTGTTTGCAAAGATAGCTTTACTATCCAGAAACAGTCTTTGCAGTTGGTCATACTCTATCCTTTGACTATTGCTGAAAGGATTTTGATAGAAACTGTGACAGTCAGAAGGGTCCGCTACAGTCACCAAAAGGGTCTGTCACTGCAAGATGTGACTGTTTTGCAGAAATAGCTGTGGGACACTCACCCTTCCAGCAGCAGGGGGTTAAAGGCAGGAGCTAAAACTTGCTCTAGGGTTAGAAGTAAATGCTAAGGAGTTCAGGCTCAGAAGGATGCTGCAATGTTCCAGATCTTGAAAGAGCTAGGTAAACACTATTTATATGACAGTGCAACAATCGCATCCCTAGACAGCATCTTCTAAACTGATATTCTTTATCATAGGCTGTAGAATTTCTCTTCCTCCTATAAACACCTCTACTTCCGAGGACTGGTAAATCTACCCAATTCCTGGTTATTTTTTCCATTAGTTACTTTTCTCACTCTTTAAAGAATGTGCTCAGCTCTATCCCGAACACATTTCATTTCAGAAACAAACCACTGGATCATTTTATGCATTTATCTGTTACATTTAAGAGTCATTTAATCACTCACTAATAAAGTATATTTTCCAGACCATGAGTAATTCTTGTACTTCTTTTCTGAAGCTTTTCCAATTTCCTGAAAGGTTTCCGAAAGGGAGGATACCGGAACTGGACACCATATTCTAGCAGCAATCTCACTAATGTCCTAGAGATTCATTTAACCACTTCCTGCTGTCAGCATCTGAATTATTGTTAATAAAACGTGAACACACCAGAGATGAATGCAGCATGTTCTGCTTTTGCAGAAGCATCACAATGGGCTCACGTAGGAAAATGATTGCAAAATATGCTGCAATAGCTATTGAGGACTAACACCCCCCCCTCCCCCCAGATGCTTTTTTATTCCATCTCAAGCAGATTTTGTGGAGCTCAGTTTAATCCACTTCCAAGATACGAGGTTAATTAGCTGTAATAGGTGATATCTTGGCAAAGCTAAAGGGATCTTGCACCCCCACATTCCTTCTCTGTCCCAACCCATCCCGTCCCAACCCATCCCATCCCAACCCGCAAACACACTCTTCAGTTTATAATTTCCAACCTGAGCTCCGCAAGCAGAAAGCCCATTTATCAACTGGCAGCTCCGTTGCTCGCAATGTTCAGAATTAGATCTGGGACATTACATTTTCTGTTTCATAAGGACTTTGGAGTCTTGTCCAGAAGATGAAACTATGAAATGAACTAAAACTTACTCGCAAATCCCTTTTTTGGCTGCTATATGAAGAGGTAACAGGCCATCCTTATTGGCTTTGTTAGCATCTGCACCTTGGGATAAAAGAAACTCCACAATAGGTATGTGTCCATTTTTACAGGCTTCATAAAGAGCAGAGGCGTTATCACTGGCTTGAGTATTTATATCAGCACCTAGGAAGGGAAAAAATCTTTGTAGCACCAAAAGGTTAAAATCAGATGGAAGCAGCATACTTTGAATGAACACATACGTCTCCATGACACTGGAGCTACAAAATGTGCTGGAAGGGGATGTGAATGAGCTCCTATCAGAGCAAAATGAAAAGGTGATACAGTCATGTCAGTTATATACAGTTATATCATAGATCTCCACTGTTTTTTACTATGATCTCCTAAACTATGAAGGAGAGTTTAACATGGGTGGCAACCATTAGCTGCCAGTCCTGAATCCAGGCTCCATTCAGCTGTATCTCAAAGGCAAAAACTTTAAAATGTGCTGTTCTTTATATAGCATGGCCTTTTCTTTGGACACAATAGTTCCGTTAGTATGTATGTGTTTACATTATGTATATACACTATTCTTGAGGAGGAGTTTGGACCAGGTGCTCTCCAGATTTCTATGATTATGTATTTATGATACATATTTATTTATACTTATACATATTATTTATATGCTATATATTCATACTTTAAAACTTATACTATGTTTTAATTTTAGTACATATCCAGGCTAAAATAGGACCCTATAACATGACATCTGCATAGTACCAAGCAACAATTCTAATCGGCTTTTATTTGGGCATGCCTTAGTCAATGAACATTTCATTTCAAAACTCAGCACCTGAGGCCATATCTCTTCATTTCACGAGGGTTCAAGTTAGGACCCAAATGGTAAGTTTTACCAAAAAAAAGATAAATATTATTAATGAGCTACTAGATTATTTGGGGCGTTTTTTTCTTGAGCTCTAGTGTGTGCTTGGCTTAATAAACAACATGCAAGAATAAACCAAGACCTAATACTTTTTGGCCACAAACAGTTTGGAATCTAGCTTTTTCTTTGCTAGATATTTAAGGCCTGAAAGCCTGGGTTTCAACTGTAATATACTGTACCATGGTGTCCTCAGGAAGGCTGCTCTATGTATATCCTAAATGGGAATGACAGTTCACTGGAGTTCTGCTTGTGAACTCCAATAAAGAAGCCAATCGGTCTCCCATTTGATCGTGAAAACTCCCTGCCAAAGAGAACATTTCCCTGTGCTTTCACCCCAAACTGCAACATCTGTGTTGTGTTTGGCCCTTTGAAGATGTTGTAGCTGGAAACATCAGGAGAATAGCAGTGACAAAACATAACACAGGACTACGTTCCTAATGAAAAAGAAATGAAAAAGAAACCCTTTTATGATGAAAATTGCCCATCATAAACAATGCAGTGGTATGATTCCTGGGATTCTCAGAGGAGCTTTTCAGGACTTGAAACAATTGAACAGTTTTATTGGATTTTCTCCTGTGTATTTTTCTCAAAATTGAACTTTAAGGAAATCCTAATATCTATCAAAGTTGAAACACAAATCACATTCTGGCTTAGTTTCTAAAATTACAGGTAGTGTGATGGACTAACTGGTCATATAAAACTGACTTGTCAATGCTAGCTGGACAGCAGAACACATTTTTTGTGTTCCCCAACTCTCATATCTTTCTTAGCCATACTATGGGCTTCAGAAGTTTTTCTTATCTTCATTGCTCTTTAGCTCTTGTTTCACAAGTGCAGGACCCAGTTCTTATTTACATTGAAGATATTATCCCACAGTGAAAATAAAATATGGCTCTGAATAGCAGTAAAATATGTTGTGCTTATTGTAAAGCTGTTTTACACGAGTGGAGCAGTAAAAGGTAAGTTTAGTGTAAACTAGAATCAAATTCACTCTGTTTATATGTTTGAACACATACACATGGGGGAGAGCGAGTCTGCTTCTCCTCGGTATAAATCTGTTAACTATACAATAGTACTTTATCTATTTTCAGCAGAATTCATTAGTGGAGGAGAGCTAACCTTGCCCATCACTGCACATGTTCATGAGCAGATGGGGTTGGCTAATGTTCAACTTCTGCCATCTATTACCACCTACAGTTGTCTTTTATGACTGATTGGAATTTAGGCTACATGTGTGCAGCAATACGGGTTTTGAAAGCTGTCAGGCAATGCAATTAGAGAGCACCGTATTATTTCCCAAAGTAGGTTACCACGAATGAGTGCTGAAGGAGCACATGTGTCTAGACCATGCTCTCTGAGAGACCCTACACAATTCAGCCATCTGGAGCAACAGGGTTTCAGCACCTCTGCAGGCTAGGCCTTCTCTTCAGAGACAGAAAAACTGAGCCAGGGAGAATTAATGGGAACTTTGAAATATTAAGAATGAAATGAGTAAAGGCATGTAACGGCACAACTGTACTCACCACATTTTGCCAGGTATCTCAAAGCTTCCAACTGCCCACTCTCAGCTGCCACAAATAAAGAAGTGATCCCATAGGCGTTTGCAGACTCAATCTTGGCACCCCCTTTCACAAGGATATCAATAATCTCCAGGTCATTTCGGGAGACAGCCTCATGGAGAGCAGTCCATCCTCGATTGCAACGATGGTTGGTATCAGCATTGTACTGTACCAGGAGTCTTGCGGCCTCTGCGTTCTTACGCTCACAGGCTGGTTTGGAAAAAAGGGAAGTGATTAGGACAGGCTTTTGAAAAGATTCTGGGTATTGCGGTATCCATTTCATGTAGCATAAGGCAATACAAAACAACTAGGCCATAGTGAGTAAGACCAAAGATCCATCTAGGTCAATATGAGGGCCAAGGCTGTTGCAAAATGACGCTGTCTGGGGCTTGTAAAGGATGTGGCAGTGAAGCCAACCTTCAGCCAGGACCTGGGGGAGGCTAAGTGTCCTTTGCAGGACTTGTGCCAAGCCTGGTGCTGAGGGGGATCCAGCCCAGCACATTTGTACCAACTGGACACCACAGTGACACAGGGAGGTGACAAGGTGCAGGAGACAATTTGTGAAGAACAAACATGTTACAGAAATCACATGACCTGAACACTTTCCTTCCAACTTCTGTGCAAACTGACTCTGTATCTTACTGCCCTGGACTGCAGATAAAGCTCTATATAGACAAGAAAATAAAAAAGCTCAAACCAACAGTGGCCAGAAAAGGATCCTTAGAAACAGTAATGGTGTGAGTCAGTAGCACTCTCTCGGCCTGCAACAATGTATAGTTCAAGACCATCCTGAGCTAAAGGTGTTTTCTTGGTAATTAATAGTATTTTGTTGTTTCTTATTCTACCAATTTGTGCCATTGCTTTTTGAATCCCAAACCATGAGGCTTCCTATACATTTTTACTGTGGGACCCCAAACCAAAGGTACCTAGACTAAGCAGCCACTTTTACAACCCCCAGTTAGCATTTGTTGTACAATGTGCAGAAAGAGAGGCCAGCACATTCTATAGCAAGTGTTTTTTTCTTTGAAATAATAGTGTCTTTTTCCCACAGAGATCCTGCCTTTTCGTTTTGATTCTTCCCTTGGGACATTGCCACCGCTTCCTCTCCCATACATACGTGTCACTCGTGTACTGAAAGCAACTATCTGATTAGGCACTGCTGTAATTACCTATGCATAGCTCTGCAGAGTTTCATTTGCTTCTATACTAGGGATGGGTAATTTGTTATGTTAATTTTTTCACTCCTTTTTTTGCTGGGGATACACCAGAAGATTTTTGCATCAACACTAGCACATACTTAATAACAGGTTTTCTCTGACTAAAAGGTGCTTTCATATTATTATTATTGTTATTATTATTACTACGAGTACTAGTACTACCACTATTGTGTGTTTAATGCACAGTTGAACAGCTTTCCTTTAGCTGACTATAAGCCAGAACTTTAAAACTAAGGCATTTTAAACTGAGCAGCTCTAATGTTAGGCATCCAAAGTTGGAGGCAAGATTACTGTTGAAACCAGTAATATGTGCTTTTTAGTGTTTTAGAGCACTAAAAATAGTCATGGCAGGAGCAGTGAGTAAAAGGTAAAGGGACACGAAGGTATGAGAGATCATCTCCTTCTCTGAACCTTTGTGTTGTCATGAATGCAATGCTGTTCTACTAAAGAAAGTGTTCTCTCTGACCAGCAGCAAAGTTATATGTCCATGTTAAACACTTTATCTACCTCACTGAATTCTTTATAACTTTATGCATCTCCCATAGCACACAGCCTGGCCTGGCCCACACAGTATACGAATCACTGGCATGTCTGCAGTGACTGTACTCCCACCCCTAACAGCTACTTAAGTCCTACTGTTTAGAAAAGCATACGTATTCCTGTACTATCCAGCTTTCTGCTTTCCGTAAGTTTGGGACATTGTGCAGACACCCTGTGCTTAGGGCCCCACTAAGCATCACACACCCCACCCTCAGTACCACGTTGCAGCCTGCACCCCGCAGCACAGCCACTAATCCTGTCTCTGATGCGGATGAGAAGAGAGGCCGTGGCATGGCAGGTCAGACATAGGAGATACAGGACTACTGGAGGAAGGTGCAAAATGGGAGCTAATTGCTGAATTTCAGCCCCACATGGCAAGAGCATCTGCAGCTCTGCCTTGGTGCCAGAAGAGCTCAGCATCCCTGGAAACACATCCGCTCACCTTTGTAGAGTGGTGTTTCTCTGGCCTTGTTGGAGATGTCAGGCTCAGCCCCAGCCTGCAGCAGGGTGAGCAGGCAGTCCAGGTTGCCCCGGCTGGTGGCCAGGTAAAGAGCCGTCTCCTCATTGAGTGTGCGCTGGTCGATTGTGCCAGGGTATGCTGTGAAGAAAAGGGGAGCCCAAAGTCATTATGGCATGTAGTAAGTACACAAGTATCTGCAGCACCATCACCTTTCAAAACCCTTGGAGTTTTAGATGAGTTTTTGTTGTTTATTTCTTTTCCTTTTCCATGAGCAAAGTAAGTTAAGAATATCCTATAAAGTTACTATAACTCAGATTAAGTATCTAAATCAGTCACTGGCTCAGATTAAAATGTTCAGCTATCGCCACTAGTGATGCAGAAAGCTGCTGAGTAATTGTTCTTCAGTAGCAGTTTGAAAACAAACTATAGTAGTTAACCACCTTCAAGCACCAGCAACGAGGTGCTGGGCTGGATCTCCAGCTAGTGGGACCTGGGGTAATTGCTTTTAGCTGCGGCAGCCGAGCAGCTCACAACAAGATAGCTCAGCTACAAGGCTTTACTGTGAGAAATCCAGGGCTTGGCAAGATCTCTCCAGATATCATTTTCTCCTGAAGATCCTAACTTTTTGAGGCTTCAGTCTGGAAACCTATTCTCAAAGAGAAGGTGAAATTAATATACACTCAGAGAGGTTGGAAAAAACCCTTCACACACAGTCCCAGGCAAGGATTGGGCTGCTGCTAATTCTGCTTTTTAGTTTATTCATATTCGTCTTCTCCCTTTTGTAATGAATTAGTTTTAACTTCACTGACCTTTTTGCAACAGGCTCAGGCAACCCACTTGGCCATAATATGCAGCTTCATGGAGGGGTATCCAGCCATCCTTATTAGGTTCAGAAAGGTCTTTTCCTGATTTCATCATGTTACAAACTGCTTTTTCATCTCCATCCTTGATTGCTTCCACTACTGGGTCAAGTTCTCTTTAAAACAAGATTAAAACCTGATTACTGCTTCCTTCATTACTGAGAAGCTTTTTTTCAGCAACATCACTGTATCATTTGGCCAAAATAGTGAACCCCTGTAGCCTATGTAATAAGTATTTGTGGCCCTAAGGTGTCTTGCTACAGGGCCTGTGGAGGTAAAATTTATCTGCTCTGATTTGGCCATTCACAACAGAAGAATCACTGTCTAGAGGTGCTGATCTCTTTCCTTGGAGTGTAAGGAAAGTGTAGGTGTGACTAATCTCTGACAAAAACATTTATATTTTAGATATCTGGAGTTGGGGAGACTAGCTCTACTCGTGCTCTGTACACTGCCATGAGCGTCCATGGTTGTGATGATTACATCACCCTCCTATGTGGCAAGGTGTTTCCATATGAGATCTCTTAAACAAGATCAGCTTTGAAGAGAATTGCCCCTGTTCATCCCTGAGGAAACTTTTAACTTTGATTTGCAGATGGCTTAGCCCTAAAGCAGAAATTCTCCACAAATCTTGTTCTTGTATTTTAAAGATACCTCCTATTTCTCCTATGCAAGCCTGTTTTCAGAAGTTAGCTGGACCAGTTATGAAGAAGAAGAGCTCTGGTTAGATCATGTGAACATTACAGTGGTGGTCTGGGCTCTCCTTTCTTCAGCCAGGGAGGATTAAAAAAAAAAAAATCCACCCACCCAAATGACATTCTGAGCTGCCCTTTATGACCATGACCCAGAAATCCCCAGCTGTTATTTCAGCATCGAGTACTCAAATTTTCAAAAATGATAACCACTTCAGACATTATAGACATTCAAAAATGTGTCTTTGGTGTCCCAGTAAGACATGTTAGGTGCTGGACACTTCTGAAAATCTGGTCTTTAGAATCCTGCTTGGGAGCAGACCCATTAGCTTTGTTGACAAATCCACTCACGCAAACCTCTTAGCCAAGTTAGCACTTCCCCAAGTAACTGCAACAGTCAGGGGCCTCTGGAACCCCAACTGGGACCTGGTGCCAAGCTGTGAAGTGGTTTGTGTTATGGTCCGTTTGAACCCAGCAAACTACTGTCAGGCTCCACAGGGCCAAGTAACTTCTAGGCACAGGGAGTAAAAGGGATGAAAAAATATTTGGAAGGGAGGGAATATTTTAAAGCCTCTTTGGAGTGGACAGTCATTGAAATGTGTAGAATCACTGAAAAGTGTTAAAGTAGTACTTCAGTATTTAGCAGCGAAAAGAAAAATAACGAGAAAGCGATCTTTTTTGATGCTACCTAATTCTGAAGCTTTCAAGAAGAGGGTCACTGTGAAAATGTACAAAAAGCATGAAATATGCTCCATGCCACTCGGAAGTGAGACACAATGAGCAGCCTACAAGCAAGCTTTGCTCTGACAAGCCTTCACTTTGCCAAGCATGCATTCTGCACAGTCTGGGCAGCAACCCATTTCTCCAAGCTCTGTAAGAGCAATTGCAGAGCAGGGCTGACCTGGGCACACCAGTCCTTCTGCAGAGCAACAGTGAGAGCCGCCGCGGGACTCCCTGCTCTGCTGGAGTCACAACGCTGCCTGACAGTCACCGTACCACTGACCAGCAGTGCCTGCAGCAGGGCCTGCCTCCCTCCTTCCACCCCAGCTGAGACTGCTGACAGCGCAGCAGAGGCAGGGAGCTGGTACACTGCGGGCAGGATCCTTGTCTGTGGCGGGCAGTGGCTCTGTGCAGGGTGATGTGCTGTGCCTTCCAGTGCTAGCACCTGCCTGAAGGTAGCCACCAAATGGCTAAGCTCCGGGACAGCAAACACCGCAAAGGAAGAAGCGTTTTTCCAGTTCTAATGGGGACTTGCAATAAGTGAACGTGGGCTATATTTTCAGAGACAGAGAACAAGAGGATGTTGAAAACATAGGAGAGTTTGTGGTTTGAACTAACTCTAAAGAGGAAATCTTGCAGCCTTGAAGGCGGAGAGACTAGGGAGGGAGGCGTGTGTCTCAGGGAGACTATTAGCATTGCCAGGGTAGGAATACAGCATGTGATGAAGGTCATGCAGGGCAGTGACAATGGGAACAACCAGGAACTCTGGTTATGACAGAAGGTCTAAAATGCCACAACAGAGTGAGATCAGAGCCAGAAAAATATGGGCAGCTTAGCACAGGAGTCCTCACAAAGCAGATCATTGGTACAACCTCTGCATTTAGTGCAGGTTACAGGAGCAGCACTGGATTTCATTGCCTTGCAGGGGCTGGACAGACCAACAGCCTGAAACTCACACAGGCGTCATTAATGTCAGCTTGCCCAGAGGTACCCAGTCTGTGCCATAAACACTGATAACAGCACTGAAAGAAAAGTCACCAAGCTGCTTCTCTGAGGATAAACTCAGGGCCTGGAGCAGAAGCAGGTGAACACAACACGGGTGCCAAGGAATGGGATAACACACCATTTCCCAGGTGAAAAAGTACTTAGTGCCACTTGCTCCTTCTCTATAGCTGGAAGCAGTGATCTCAAGACAGCGGAGTCATAAAAATAGCAACACTGGAATGGGGGAAGATACGGGACACAAAGCCAGGCATTTTGCCTGAGGAGATAACAGCTAGAGCAGGCAGCTGCCTTCCTGGCAACAGCCCAGCCAGGAGGAATTGACTGACCTTCTGTTAACTGCCGGGCCGAGGTCCCAGGGACACTGCTTTATCTCCATACTATTTAGAGTACCCTGGGGACGAAAACTAAAATTGCTAGTTTTGTATAGATAATAGATTTTTATATAGGTGTTTGAAATTGAGCATTTTGTTGAAGGCAGTTAACAGCAAGAATTGGCATGTTTGTCTAGGAGAGGAGGAGGAGGAGGTGGGGGATCTTCCTTTTTAAAAGCCTCTGGCACAAGGCTGCTGAAGCCATCTGTTGTTCTGTGCAAAGGTTCATGTTACACATGCAGGGCTGCTCACTGCGACCTCGGGATTTGGGCACACCATAGAGTTACCAGCGCTTAATGAGTGACTGCATGCCAGCCGGGCCATGACAGAAGTCTGTACATGTGGCTGACATACAGCAAATGCAAGGTGAACCATGTTAGCCGAGACCTCAGTGAAAGCAGAGGGTACCTCGGATCTGTGGTAGGGTTTAAAATGTGTGAAGAATCAGTTACTATTCTGCTTGAGCCCTCAGATGTTGAATGAAGCAAACTTCTGTTGGGCTCCTTGACCTTAATTGATTCCTGAGTAAGATGAGGGGGTTTGCTGGACCAGGCTGTAGATGCTTTAGCCAAGCAAATTCCAGATCAGTACAGAAAGTTTAATGAATCTCCATGTGAAATCCTTTTCTGCCCGGCTCATAGTTGGCTGTTGTAAAAAAACAACACATTCTGCTGCTTGGATTTCATCAGATAAAGAAAAAACGAGTATTAAAACTATAGAGGAAGCCTGAAGATCTGGTGAAATCTTAACCATATAGGTGAATCAAAAGAATGACTGCATTTCAAAGGCCAGTAGCCAAGATAATAAATACTCATTGCAGAAGAAATGTATGGTGGGGTCAATTCTGAGTGCTGCAGAAGAGGTTCAGTGGAGCATGGAAATGTTCAAGAAGCTCCTTCTTTTCCTGGCAGCCTGGTGAGATGCAGGCAGCATGAAGGAACATCTCCCCAGGTGAAGCCAACTATCATCCCTACCTGGCTCTGAGACCAGGGCCATAAAACAGTCATGTCATCATACTCTCCTGTGGCTTCCCAGCCACATTTTTACTCTCGCCAGGCAGTAGACGAGGGCTAGCTTATCAGCCTTATCCCTGCCTTTGTTGTGGGCTGAACTCTCTTGAGCTATATGATGCAGAAGAAAAGCCTGCCCTCCAGTCATGCACCTAGAGCTGGAGAGAGGCATGCAAGGTGTGCAGAGCTCTTGATGAAAGGATGCGATTTCAGTGTGGCCAAGGGGAGCTGGCAGATGATGGGGGTAAGGGACGCTTCATGTTTCACATGTGTCGGGGAGGGCAATGTCAGTGGAGAGCCAGGGACAGAGCCTGGATCAGCCAGGGTGCAGGGTGAGGTGGGGGAGATTGTAGAGCTGGGTGAGGGATGAAAGGAAGAAGAGTGGTGGAGGGGTAGTCACTGCCACTGTGCATCCAGGGAGGGACTTGTAAGATGGATAAAACAAAGTGGATTTGAACTGGGTAGATAAAAAAAGCAGGGGAGAGTTTTCTGCAGGACACAGAGAAGTGCTGCCTACAACACTTGCCTCTCTTCATCTAACAGCTAAAGTTCATGCATTTGCTTTGCCCCGCAGAGAGTTGTAATAAACCCATTGTAGTCCAGACACTTCTACTACACAGAGGTACTGGGGCAGAGCTTGGGCCACCCCCTTGCCTGTCTGCTTTCCTCATCCATGACTGTCTTCCCCTAAGCTTATTTACGGTTTCTGCCAACAGCAAAAGGTGGCCAGGAGGATCAAAGTCAGTCAAGCTGGTTTCCTCCTTGGGCAGGTAAGATGTGGTACAGCTCCCCAGCAGCCCTCCTCAGTGTAGCAGGACAGTGCAGGTATTGCTGGGAACGGACACGACATCTTGGGAGCATTTATAAAATATTTGCTTTGAAGGACTGGACTTTCTCACCCTGTTTATATACTGCAATAAAATGTTTGTTTTCCCCACTCTTCCCTACTGTTGAACTGTGAACTTAACACCAATGCAGTTACTATCAGCACCTGCCTGCCTCATCTACCGTGTTGATGTGGGAGCCAGCCTATATAAATAAACCACAGCGCAGGCATCCCTCCCCTGCTGTCCTTGTCACCTCAGAGCTACCAAATGACCCAGAGTCCCCAGGACACGTGCACTGGAGGGATGGAGAGGGATGAAGGGGGAGAAGAGAACAAGGGAGGTTTGGGGTGGGTCACCTGCAAGAGCCTGGGCATGGTCTGGGGCAGCTGGGAGGTCGGAAGGAAGAGTGGGAAGGCAGCGAGGGTGCGGTGCAGATATCAGCAAGACCCCTCTAAGCAGTTCATTAACTCCTCCAGATGAACACGACCATTTACCCCACCAGACACCATTGCCACCCAGAAGAGCTGACTCAGGGGGAGCATTGGTAGCAAGGCTTGTTTTGACCGCGGGGGAAAGCAGGAGAGGGAGGCACTTACACGGGCTGGGATGTGCTGAACAGGCTGCCGTCGTACCTTCGCCTGACCCCCCAGGCTGCCCCCGAGCTGGACGGCTGAGCACGGCCTCTCGGCTGGGCCACCAATCTGGAGTGGCGATGACATGAATGAAATAAGGAGAAATACTCCGAATAAGAGAAACAGGTCATGTTGAGGCAGAAACAGAGACACACATCCGCAGAGACGGAGTGAAAAAGCCTGCCGGTCAGGGCTTTGAATAAAAGCAGATGGCCACGGCTTGCTCTGCACTGGATTCAGCTGCTCGCTCAGCTCAAGATTATTTTTGGCCCTCTGAGGAAGCGTCAGGGGATTCAAATGACCATATAAGACAACAGTGAGGTTAACCCTACCACCACCACACAGGAAGCAGGCACGAGGCGAGGTGACATTCATCACCTCTGAAGTGCCACGCAAGCAGGTTGGAGGCGGGGGCAGAGGAGGACCCAGGGCCCCCGGGTGCTGGCTCCATTTCCAGCCTGGCTCTCCCAGGTGGCAGAAGAGTTCAGCAACGCTACAGATCTGGAGCTACAAGCTGCAAAGGTTTTCCCTCCAGTGGGAGGTCAAAAGCTGCTGGGCTGAGGCAAAGGCAGGCCAGGTTAATGCACGGAACTGCAGATGCTGCCTTTTGCCAAAATAGCAGGTGTCAAAGGACACCCAAGGACGACAGGACCAAATGGCCAGGGAAGCCCTTGTTCTCCCCCGCATCGGGTCCCTGTGGCAAAGCTGACAGTACAAGTGCACGGTAACAACACCGAGAAGCCATGACCTTTGATGGGAGCAGGACTGCCTGCTGTACAGCATCCTGATTCCGCAACTATGAAACACACTTACTGCTCATCAAATTGTACCCCGTTTCCCAGCCTTGGAAACCAAACAATCACAGGTGGTAATGAGTGAGGCGTCAGAGGACAGTGGTGTTATGAGAAAGAAGGAGGAACAAAACTTCAGTTGCTCCCAGCTTATTACAAAAAAAATAGTTTAAAAGGATATTTTTCTATCTTCCTTGCTTTTGGGGTGACTTTGTAACCTCTTCCTCCCCCTGCCCCCCTTGAGAAATCTGCCTTTCAAAAAATGAAAGGAGAACAACGTCTGATTTGGAAACTGTCAGCAGGTCTCTCTAACCCACAGCCCAGCATTGCAGGGCAGGGAGATGCTGCCACGCTTTGGTGTCTGGAACTGCTCTTGGCTGAGAGTGGTGTGCTTGAGGTCTGACTCTGATCTGAAATAACTACATCCTTTAAAGTCTGCAGTATCTAAAAGGTAGCCAGCTCCCACTGTTTCATATGCCTATTTTTGGCCTCTCTCCTATGTTTTCCCATAACAAATGCTGGGCTCCCTCTCTGGCGAAACCTAAGCCCGGCATGCAGCGTGCCCCTGTGGGGGAAAGGAGCTGCTGGCTTCAGCAGGCTTTCTTTCGTTCAGGAGAGCTTGTAGCAGTGCCCCTTTCTTATTTTATTTGTTGCTTAAAACAGACAACAGCAAGCAAATTCTCATTTCATTGTGAGGGCATAAATTGTTGACCTCATCGGATTTATAGCAGACTCCGGCTTTCAAACTAATGACAGACTTGCAGAGCAGCCACTCGGCAAAACTAATTAGAAAGCACGTGTTTAGACAGTGGAAGCTGTTTTGCTCTTCCTGGGCAGGGTGTTTGTTGGGACGGCGCAGCTCAGGCAGGCGCTCACTCACCTTTGCCATGGGTAGATGTGGTAGGGCGGGTTGTGGCTGCTGGCGCGGCTGGGGGCGGCCGCCTCGCTAGGACCCGTCACCATCGACTTCTGGTGGCTCTGGGCAGCTGGCTGACCCGTGGGGTCCTCTTCCAAGCTCTGCTGGATGGCCATCTTTATAAGTTCGTCTTCACTCAAGCTGCTGTACAGACTGTATTCCTCACAGCCTATTGTTTGTCTTTGAGTATTTGCTGCCGTTGTAGCCATTTTTTTTTTTTTTTTTGCTTTCCTGTAAAAGGAAATTGTGATCATCAAAATCTGGAAAATTAAAGAAAGAAACTCAACTATTTTGTGCTTTTATTCAGCTCTGCCTCTTGATTAGACTCACCAGAAAACCCTTCAGAAATCCTTCACCAGGGAGAGAACATTATCAGCTAAAATCTGCATGTAAACTTAATGAACTAACTCCTTTCTATCACATAGAAGTAACTGATTTAGCTGGTGTTTAAAAAAGGGAAGGGAGCTGCCGCAAGCAAGGCAGGTTTTTATCTACTTATTCTGGTTCCTACAGCTCAAGAGAAAAATAGGTAAAGGAAGTCCCCATAAGATTAAAGAGATACAGCTTTGAAATGAATTTTAGGAGAACACCAATGGACATCTCTTTTTGTTGTTTTTTTTTTTGTTTGTTTGTTTTATTTCTTGCTCTAATTCTGCCAAATTAAGGGAAGAGATTTGTCTGTCTGTTTGCCAGTTTTCTGCAAGGGCAGGTTCTCCACCATGAAGTGTAAAGTGACTTCATGGAGTAATTTTTTCCACCTTATCTGGAGATCTGTTGAGCAACATGCAAAGCTATTCTTTGAAGTGACTTTCTTTGTTTCACTCAGCTAAGAGAGCAACACGACACTGCTCACTTTCACTTCTGATTCTTTGCTTTTCACAGAACAAAGTTCAAGCTTTAAGACTTATGGTCAGACTACCTTGTAAAAACTAGTGGTTGAAAGCTGGAAATGAGAGAAATGGGGAAACATCAGGGCATGCTCAGCAATCACAGAATGACTGTGAACCATCACTGCAGCATGGACTCAAAAAGGCAAAGACAATCCAAAATACTGCAGTATTTCCAGCAGTGATAGGGAAGTACTAATGCCATGAAAGGTTCGATGCTCTAGCAAGATCTCATCTGGATGCCAGAGAGCCAAGGACTTATTTCATGGGAGGAGATGGGAAAGCTTGCCTCTTTTACGAGCATGACAACCAAGGGGTAATAGGTTTGCTTTTTATAAGCACACCAGTGAGTGAGAACTGTGTAAAATAATGGGGAGTGCTGGGACGAGGAGCAATGGGTACAAGCTGCCTGTGGACAGGGCAGGGGAGGACAGTGAGCCAGCAGAAAGGTACTGTGGAAGCATGTCCCCCAGGCGCAGAGAGGTGAGGGACTGGCTGAGTGCACCAGCATGGTTGCCGACAAAGCTGCCTGCCCCCCACCCTGGGACTGTCAGTCCCTGCCCCAGTGACGCCACCGCAGGGCTGGTCTCCAGCTCCCCACAGCCCTGCCCTGCCCGGCCATGGGCCTTGCTGAGCTGGGCCCCCTGGCAGAGCCACAGGCATGAGGCTGGCAGAGCCACCCAGCCTCCTGCTGCTCAGGACCTGCCTCCTGCCACACTGGGCACCGCTGACAGCAAAGCCTTCAGCTCCCCTTCCCTGCACGGCTGCTCTCTCCAGCAGGCTGGGGCTCTGACCCGGGCTCACTGAGCGCCTGGGGCAGCCTGGCTTCCCAGGGACTCACACCCATGTCGATGGCAGCAGGGTCCAGCACGCTGTGAGCCTTGCACCAGGAGATTGCCCTGCTCTAGCAGTCCTCGCTGCTGTGTGCATGGCCAAGAGATGGTCCTGACCCGGAGGAAATGGTAGCTCCCCAAACGGTGACAGAGGCGTATCTATGCATGTCAAGACACTCATGTTTGTTTCTTTAACCATAATTTTTTTAAAAAAAGAAACTAAAACAGTTTGTAGAAATTGCAAGAGCTTGAATCAAGCCATAAGTAACATAAAATCTTGGATTTAAGCTTTTCACTTCAGAAATGGTGATATCTCCCACATCAACAGCCACCTCAGCCTCCAAGCACATCCAGAAGTGGGAAGAGTTCTGGGTAAAGGGAAGCCCAGACTGACATTATGACTTTTAACAATGAAGGATGTATTTTACAGCCATGAAAACTGCCAGAATAAAATCTTTTGTTGCTGTAAATAATGCAACCCAATTTTGTTGGGTTTTCTTTTTTTATTTTCAGCCAGATCTCTCATGGCTGCTGTTGGTTACCTTCTCCAGTGAGAGCTGGTGTGCCTCAGCTCTGCTATGAGCCTTGCTGTCCCAAGGAACCAAGTCCAGGCATCAAACCGCTGATAGCTCCCATATGCAGCTGCTGCCCGCCCCATGCCCCAGCCGCTCCAGTACCTGTCCTTGGCTGCCCTCCAGCCCGTGCCTGGCCAAGAACCGTGACACAGGTTTGTTTTCCTAGCAGCTTCTGCTGTTGCTTGGCTTGCTCAACTCCTGGCATGCTGGGCAGCACTTTCATAGTCCATCAGCCTACGTACTCACTCAGTAACTGATGTGCTGCGGATGTGTGAAACCCACGGGCTGGAGTCAGAGGGCTTGCCTGCAGCATCCAGCACTGCAATGCCTAAATGTAAGGACCTGGCCCCGATGGTGACTCAGAGACCTAAACTAAGCACTTAATGCAGAGGGCAGGATCTGATCATAAGCTCCTAATGGAGGTGATGCACAATGACTCTTTGGAGGAGGCAAGAATGGAGATGAAAGTGCTCCTCTCAGAGGACAACCTGCACCAGTGGAGCATGGGGCACAGATCCCTCCTCTTTATCCTCCCCAGCCCCACCGCCGGCATCCTGAGAGCACAGGAGGCAGAGCAGGCAGTGGGTCCAGCCTCACTGTGCTTCTGAGCTGGGTGTTAAGAGTCCCTTCATGGGCAGTCAGGGCTTTGAGGAGCGTACAGGAGACCACTGCCAATGCAACTCCACACTCTGGCACAGACGAGCTAACTGATTTAGGTGCCTCACTAACTCCCCAGTGGATCTAGGTATAAAGGCCATTTCTGGACATCTTTCCCTCGCTCCTTCTTTTGTTTCACACCTTGTTGAGGCACAGGAAGGGAAAAGGAAGATTTTAAGTTTGGGGATCACTGCTATTTCACCCTCTTATTCTCTGTACGGGTTAACTGGGTCTCACCCACTCCCAGAGAAAAGGGAGAACCTCCCCTGCATGTTGGTGATCCTCACTAATCTAAATATTTTGACAGGAGTTCCATGGAGTGCAGAAACCACAGTGCTGGCTGCAGCTCCCGCCATTGACTCATCCTGCAGGAAGAAATGCTGTGGGGCCCAAAATAGAAAAAGCTTTCAGTTCTGCTCATCTAACTGGCACAACCCCAATGAAGGTGTGAGGGTCACATCCTGGGGCTGCAGGAGCTTTTGGGTTGGTCCTGATAGCCAAGGACAGTCTTGGCTGTCCTGACCCTTAGCAGAGATGGTTCCAGTTGGGCTTCAACCTGTTGTTGCTTTCCTCTGCCTGTCTCCCTTACCTTAGACTGACCTGCGTGGTGTGTCTGAGGTTGGCAGGAGGCACGACATGTGCCTCCTCCGTACAGCTCCCTGTGCAACAGCCCCAAGTGGAGCAGAGCAGAGCCACCACCCTCCCACCTGGAGATGATTTTGTTTGAAGCTGCACAGCCACCAGGCTCAGGCACTTGTTCAAGTTCTTTCTGTAACAAGCCACAGTGAGCCAGCTGAGCTGCAGTAACAGGCTGAGCGCATGCCCTCAGCTGGAGGCTAATGCAATGCAGCCTGATTCAGTTTAATCTTCTTTCACTGCAGCTGAGTTTGGTGGCACCGCTTGGCACTACCCTGGCTCAGCTGACACAGCAGGGCTAAGGTAATCCCGTCTGTGGCCAGTGGTGAACTACCACAATGTCATGAAAGCCCATTAGACTAATGCACTATAAGCTATAAGCTTCTGTAACAAAGGTGTGAAAAAAAAATCAATCTTTGTTGCTAGGAATGGTTGAACCAGTCTGGATAAGTAAGATCTGGCCAAAGTGGTCTTTCCAAATGCAACTTGAATCTATTTGCTTACTCTAAGCCTGCTTACTGTAGGTTTAAAGTATTGGAATCAGATTTATATGTTAAATGCTGGGTTTACTGTTCACCCCAACTTCAGGATTTGGGGGAGGTTTTAATGTTTGGTTGTCCCCTGCATTTCTCTGGCAGCCCAAGAGCCCATCCTCACATGCAGGTAGCACACAGCATTGCACGTGCTGTACGAGCAGAACCAGATTTTTAAAGCTGTGGGTATAGTGCCTTTATTATTCCTTAGAGATTGCTTTGCCTTCAGGTCTGAATGGCTTCATTAGTGATCTCTCTTGGCAGAGATGTCTTAGGATACTGCTGCCTGTGCTGCCATTTAATAGCTCAGTCTGACAAGATCTTCTGGATCTAAGTTTATCATCCTTTCCACATAGGGCATAGGGCTTGATCCTGATTCTTAATTTTGCCATCCCTATCTAAGAAGGAGTTTGTTTATTTAGATGTAGAAATCAGGCCTGTGCCACGCAGAGGTAACTTAGCTGCATCCAGTGACCAGAATGTAAGGTTAGAAATGAAATGCTTGTGCCAGGGCCAGGCTGTGACACTCTGTCCTGTGTTAATGAGCAGCTGTACCTGGCAGATCTTCCAAACGAAAGGTACTACTCACCAGGGTGGCTATTAGTAACCACTCACATTATGGCAAAAGCCACAGACAAACAGAATTAGGTTGCTATTATATTTGGACTACAAGCTCTGTAAACATACCCTGTTTGGGAGAATGGGCCTCTGATCCCTGATGCAACATAAATAAACAACAAGGATTACAGCTGGCTTTGAACATGCAGAACCGTGCTATTCAATACCATTAGCATCTGAAACAACTGGTCCCCATTGACAGCACTTCCTTAAAGAAAAGCTTAGCGAGGCTGCCTGTCCTCCTTCAATAGATCGCAGGCAGCAGAATTAGCAGAATTACTTACTGCTGTCAGAGGAGGGTGGCAGGTGAGTGACAAGGTCATTAAGGGAGCAGAGCCAGGGACTTTGCCTGCCTTTGCACTGAGTTTACACCAGTCAGCTTGTAACTCAATACGGGACCTCAGTATTTATGGCTCAGGGTATGATAAATCACATTTTTATAAACAAAAACAAGTCTTTGGAGGCTGCAAAAGAGAGAGAAGAGGAGCGGCTTGCTCATTTTGCTTTTTGCAAAGAACGACTGAGCCCCAGCTTCTTCAGATACGTGTTTGCCTTTCCATGTGTTTGCATTTTTACTTCTGAGAGCAGCAGGAGCACACACAGGGGGAAGGTAAACATGTCTGGAAGTCTTCATGGTAAACCAAGCCTCCACTTTAGCTCTTGCTGCGGCACCTTTCCGGCCAGATCCTCTGATGGCAGTGGAAACTCGACCAATTTGCAGCACTTAAAGTACTCATATTTTTGCTGTATTTTAGGTCAGTTTCCACATAAATCTTTGCAGTTCTCAAAGGATATTATATTGGGTAACTACTGCTGGGAAGCAAATTATTTTTTTAAAAAGAGAAAAATTTCAGTGCCCATCAGAACTGCCAGAGCTGGGACGTTAGAAGGATGACACCTCATGCCGTCCAGCTGTGGCAACAGGCAAATATATTTTGTAATGACAGCTTGTGCAAGCCGCTCAAGTTCTAGCCCAGTGCTGAAGGAGCAAAGCCAGGCTTCCCAAAAGAATCCTCCAAGCAAACAAATCCCCTTGTCGAGCCCCAGCTGTCAAAACAGGTCACCTATCAGTCTGGCATTTGTTATGATGCCATCAAATTGTGACTCTGTGCAAATTCTTTACTGGAAATGCATACACCTGCAAGCTTTTATTTCTTCTCAGAAAGCATTAATTCACACAGCAATCAGTGCAATGTTAGCTTTGTGTCATACCAGCTGGAAATTTATAAATGAAAGGAATAATTTGCTGATGTAATTTTTTTTCCTTCACACTGTGCCTTGCACACTACATTGTACCTTAGCATGTTGTCACAACAATGACAATTATTTCTGAGCAAGCTATTCTAGGGACAAAGACATAAGCATCACCTGCAAGTAAAATAAAAATAAGGAAATGGCAGAGCTACAGTTCTGCTTGACACCAGTGAGTGTTTTATGGCTTATTTGAAAAACAACAAAACCCAAAACCGAACCACAGAAACTCCCAAGACTGTGTTAGGGTGTTAGGTTACAAACTGCTACAGGAATAAATATTTGCATAGACATAGCAAACTGACAGATTAAAAATGATAAATAAGTTCAAAACATGCATATTTGCATTACCTTTTTGTTCTGAAATAAAAGGGTAATAGTACTGTTGAAATGGGTTATCTCCTTGATTAAGTCTTAATTCAGAAAATCCTTGCTGGTATTCATCTCCCTGCTTTGCCTGGATGCTTCGATCAACTGCAGGACAGCTTTGAAACACTCTCGCTTTGAAGCCTGGAGTTTATTTCTGGATCACCCCATGATCAGTGAATACAAGCCAAAATATAAGTTGTTCTGAATCTCAGATTTCCTGTTTGAAGATGCATGGCAGAAACTTTTACCCATCCTAAAGTTCTTCTTTGTTGCATTATCTGAAGAACTTCACTTCATCAAGCATCCCGTAGCTAAATGACACAAAGTTGACCTTTCTATTACATCATTATTTATTGTCCCTGACAAGTAGACCATATATGGACATGTTTCTGGAACCTAAAGAGAAAAAAAAATTGCCTTATAATTTTGAAGTAAAGTATGTTGTCCTGGAGAGTTTTATTTACTTGAGGAGAAGGGGACTCAATTTACTTTTCTTTTAGCTGCTGCTTGTTAAACAAAACAGGCAAACATTACGTGGGTATTTATTGATGTTTTAGAGTGATTTGTATATTTTTAAGGCTGCAAGTTTGAGACTTCAGGATTCCAAAAGATGACAAAAGCAGCTGTGAACCTGTTCCAAGTAGTATTTGCAAGAGCTTACTACTGGAAAAGAACTGCTCTCGTACCACATAAACGTGAACGACAGACCCTCTCTCAGACTCCTCAAGGCCATAAATGTGAAATGGTAGCCATCTTCGCCACACCTGGCAGAGGGCAAGCTAGCCAAGGGAGAGATAGCACTGATCCAGGGATGAGCTAGAAGAAAACAGTCAGGCACATACAGGAGAATTGTCACTGTTGGATTAGCTGGAACATGGGGATAATACTCAGTTTGGGAAGGTTTCTATGTATTTGTCCAGCTAATACGATGAATGAAGGGAAACCGTATAATACAGTATCAAAATGATGCCCGTGCTTTTTCCTTCAGCTCCTGCTTCACTGATTCCCATGGCAAAACATTGCATATAAAAAGAATAAAGCCTAGATCGCAATGGGTCTGGTTTCCTTTCCGAGCACCTTGTCGAGCCTCAGGCTAGCTGTACTCACCCTGTCAGTGCATAAACACCCCCTGTCTAAGGCTTAACAAAAGCAATCCTGAAAGAAACCAGTTTAGCAAGTCCCTTCCAACTCACCTGCTTTGCTTTTAGGGTCTTTCAGGACCAGCATCATTCCCTCTCCATGCTTGCTCCTCGATCCGACTTGCTCCAGCATGACAGGATGGCCAGTATCTGATAGGTCCACCTTCTCTGCTGCCCGTAAAACCATCTGCCCCTCATAACTAGTGCTAGGGCTGTTGTTTTGTCCAAAGTTAAGGACATTCAGCAGTTACTGTGGCAGGCAAAGGAGCCCTGGATGTCGTCACCAAGAGGGTGTGAGACTCTTACACCCTTGAAAACATGTCAGCCAACCCTCCATGATTTTTAAACAACACCCAGCTCTTTTTTTCCTGATATTACTTTAAGATCGTAACGAGCCTTGGCTTAAAACCAAGAGTGAGTATCTATCTCCCACATTTAACACTTCTGCTTGCCTTTTGGCAGTCTCTCATCAGATCCACACCCTTGGCACTCTTATGGCCGGCTTGATGTCCCACTGAAGTCAAGGAAAAATGCCAATATTGTGATGCAGTTTCATGTTTGGCAGGGACAAGGGTGCCTACATCTTCCAGGATGGACTATTTGATTATAAAAAAGGTACTGGGGCTCAAAGTCCCATCAACTATGAACGTTGCAGATGGTTCCCCATGCCATTCACACCACGCACACTGCAATTCCCTTCCCTCCCACATTCCTGGGTTTCCTTGCAAAGCCCCGAGCACCCCTTTGATGTATTTGGAGCTCCTGTGAATGCTGCTGCACCATTTTCTGATACAAGTGCAGGACTGTGCTTCAGAAGATCTATTTTCAGATACCTCTAACTCTCTCTTTTGTCTTGAGTAAGTCATTCAACTCCTCTGTGTCTCATTTTCTACATTAGTGAATTGGAAATAATCAAACTCATTAACTTCAGAGAAGAGTCCAAAATTCCTTGCAGATGGGAAGCCAAGACTGCTTATATGGATAGAGATTGCCGAATAAGACCTTATTTAATTAGTATCTGTGAAATACTTTGGTATCCTCAGAGGAAGACCTCATAGAAGTTTGAAATATTAATTACAGAAATATTACTGTACAGGAATGAAATCATACATTTGGGGGTTGATTTTTTTTTCCAATAAAACAATGTTGTGGCTTTATTACAACACATCCAAAGCATAATAATAACAATCATTATGATTTATTAGCATTGCATCAGATTTGTTAATATTTCCCCTGGGGCACGCACAGTTATAGATCTGCATTTTCAGCTTAACCCCAAGACATTCCAAGAGATTCCAAAATGTCACCTGCAAAAATAAATACATAAATTTACGCCATTTTCCGGGACAGATTTCAAACTCAGACACTGCATATTAGGTCTGTTTGCTTTCTCTTTAAATAGAAAATGATGGAAATAGCCAACTCATGCTGATGGGGGAGTCAGCTAGGGTCTCACCAACAGGCGCAATAAAAGACATTTGAATCTGAGAGAAGACAAAGAAGGATGACCACATGAAAATAACAAATTAAGAAATACACAGCAAGATTTGCTTTATTCTTCATGTTTCCTCAAAATAGCGAGCAGAATTAAGGTTAGGAAAGCACATTTAACATTTCCTTAATTTTGGGGTTTGTTCAGAGTCTCCACTTCCATTAGTTGAATTAAGTAGCCCCTCAGCTCTACTAAGTGCTGTTTTGTTTTAAGAAAAAACCGAATCAGGCAACTGAGGTTGGTGAAAAAAGCAAAGTTCATTTGTGCATCCCAGGAGACCAACGAGCTTGTTACAGACTCATTCTGTGTGCAGAGCTGCCACAGATGTGCCATCACATGATGAAATGCAGGTGAGAATGGACATTAGCACAAACCGTATTCTTGTCCATAGCCTACAACTACCAACGATGAGTAACTCTACTGCACCCAAACACTTGGCTCATGGGTGGCTGTTCTGAAAGGAAGAAAATACTGATTAGTTGTGACAGTAACAGTCCCTGGACAGAAAATCCTTATAATACTTTGCCACAGAACAGCATACTGCTTTGTGCACCAATTACTGTTGGTAATTGGTAACTGTTGATATAAGTAACTGTTCTCTTGTTACTTATATCAAGTCTGAACTTTTTTACTGTAGAAAGACAGCAAGATGTTTTGGGTGGCATATTTCACTGAGAGCATAGACCTGTGGCACACATCTCTACTTTTCTCAATCATATTCCAGTGAGCAGAGCTTTGCATTCAGTGTTGCCATGCTGTGCTTCCATCAGACACTCCCAAAGATTAAATGCCAACACCAGAACCAAAAGCAACTCTCCTGTGCCTCCTGCTATACAACCCACATTCAAATAACAAGAAGATAGAAACTCCCACAGGGGAAGGTGGTTTCAATTTCCTTTGCAAGAACTAATGATTGCTTTGGCCCCAGTACCCTGAGAGAGGCAAGGAGCCAGAGGCATTTGTATGGGAAAAGGTGCAGGATGTCACACGTGCCCAGGGGTAGGGAATACAATATACATCATTACTTCTTGCTGACTCTGCTGCCTAAATACTTCAGTGCTGCAAAAAAGTAGATGTTTTGAGATGACTCTACTCAGAACATAGTTCCCCTTTCTGGAGGAATTTATCTCACGCTAATGGCTCCTGACTCACACCCCCGAGTCAGGCTGGACTTCGGCTCAGTGTACAACTTCCATTTCTGCACAGTGGCTCCTCACAGAAAATTTTTACCTTACAGACACAAACAAAATGGAGTCCTCACTCCTCTGGAAATACGACATGAGCACAAAGGGGAACACCCAGTATCCAGGGTCCTAAGTCCCATTTCAGGTATCTGATGTTGCAGCCTGGACCTGCCCTGCCAGTGAGCTTTGGGAGAGCGTGCAGCTACTGCAGTCGCTGCCTCTCTGCAAATGTCATCATAAGGTCACATCCACTGACTCAAACTGAAAGAAGAATCAGTCAGAGGGAACATGAAATGCTAATATGAAGTGAACACAACCCAAAGACTATATAAACAAATATAGAGGGAAAGCATAAACATTATCTTTTAGTTACTCTTTGCTGTGCAAATATCATTTATCTTACGTTATAATGTATGTTAGTAAGAATTCTAATGAAAGAATTGTCTTTTTCCTGACCTTTACAAAATCCACAAAATTCAGAGATGTTGCTGCAACCCCACTGCTCCAAGGGTCTTGCAGGGGAGCAGGAGGACGAGAATGGCAACAAGAGACACAAGCTGCTGTGAATAGCAAAGGTCATGGGAAAAACAGCAACCCCAAAACAGCAATGATGGAAAAGCGAAATTGATTTTGATGGGAAACAACCTTTCCACAGTTTTTTTAAAGCAGTCTTTGGAAATATACAATGGGTGTTTACCTCTCCATTCTATCCCTTAGGCTAGTTTATGAACAAAGTCTCTTTTGATGCATTTCTCTGGTACCCTCTAATTCTTTTAACACTGATTTGTGTCTAACTGCTGTGCCTGCTGTATGCAATAAGACCTGTTGCATTGCTCTCCTTCCCTTCCCTCAATGACATGAGAACAGACTTTCTGGATACGGAGCTGTCTTTGCTTTACTATTGCCACAGATAAACAGCCCTCGAAAAACAACAGATGCCCCTACCTAAATTCAGCTTGAAGAAACGTCCGTAACTTTGAGCACAATGAAGTTCAAGGAATTACGACTTTCTATATGCTTGGAGTTAAACCAATGCTAGGAGGTGCTACTGGAGTTGGCAAGGCAGAGCAGGACTCTCCTGTGGACAGCCCCAGAGAGAAGTGGGTGGTTTTGGTTCCTGAGAGATGGGCTCCAGCCTGGCTTGGGATGAACGCTGAAGGTGGCTTCTGGCCACCCCAACTGGAAGTGGGTTTGCTGCCATGGGACTCAGAAACTCAGAGCAGGGGGACAAGCTGTCATCCACATTGACACCTGCCATGCTACGCTGGCCTGCTCCCCCTGATGAGATGGCCAGGCCTGGGACATCATTGGTTGCTGTGCAGACAAGAGCAGCAAAAGAACCAGAATGGACTGTGCTAAAGGGCACCGCACCATCATCTCTATTTACCCAGTGCTGTTTTTGCTGTGTGGTAATTTCATATGTAATAAATACAACATCTGAAGCCCTGATCAAATGAACTGTCCTTTATACTGCCACTGAGAAAGCTTGTTGTCCTGCACTGACTGCTTTGAGCACGCCTGAGAGAGGACCAGAGGTTTATGCCCCCTTTAAGTTCAAATCACAATGCAACAGGTTTATTTTGCAGGGCTGACATTTAATTATTCGCCCTACATCTCTCAGGTTAAATTTAGAGCTAAATTTAGGACAAGAGTCTGGACAGAACGTCATATGACACCAGCGTATATCTGTTGCACAACATGCCATACAAACATGTAACGTTCAACTTGGTTAAAAATAACTGTACACTTACCTAATTCAGCAGGCTTCTGGACTCTATCTACTGAGCTGGTAAGGAGACAGTGCAATAATAAGAGTGTCAAGTATACTGAGGGAAGAGACATCACTAAAAGCAAGAAGACAGAAAAAAAATCTTTTTTCTGTATTTGTTCTCTCTTTATTTTTGTATCGAATAGAAATTACTGTGCCATAGTAATTTATGTATGACAGTCTAGATTATTAAAAAAGGACAAGAATAGGTAAATTAGCATGGAATTGTGAAAAGAATTGTAGAGGTTTTTTTCCCATCAAAGTGAGAGATCTCTGATTCCTCAAGAGCAGAGTTAAATGGCTGTTAAAACTCCCACCCTAAGCCTGGAAGAGAACAGATTCTTTCACAGTTAAGAAGTAGCCTGCTACATACATGGTTTCCTCAGCTACAACAGGGCTAGATGACACCAGTCGGCGTGGCTGAGGCAGGGAGACCCAGATCTCCAAACTAAGCATCATTAGCTTCCTGAGCTGTGTTTGGAGATCATAGCTCCAGGGAAAACCTGAGCAGGGGAAAAAAACCTGTTATACAAGTGTCAAAACCACAAAGTGAGATGGAAAATCTGTTTAACACCTTTACGGATAAAATGAGAACAAGCATGACAGCACAGATGAAGGCTGGAGTAAAGAGCTGAACTTCAGCCAAGCTGCCTTGGTGTTACTGAGAGCTGTAACGATAAGCAGGATGTATTTTCTCCATTTGAGCTGCTGCCATGCTTCTGTCCTTTGGTGTTTATC